AAAATAAATCTCATAATTTATTAGTCAGTGTTCTGAAGTTCTCAAGCAAACAATGTTACCACCCAAAATGGGAGAACAAATCAATTCAATTCCATGAACATTTTTTTGAGCAATAACAATTAATGTAACCAAGTCTTCTTAGTCATGGAAAGATTTTTAATTCTAGAAATCATTACATCAGACTTTTAAACTAAGCTATTTTGTTAATATCTGGAAATTAATTTCTAAGTACCACATAAATAAGCCATTTTATTCATAAATCATTCAACAAATAATTACTGCAAGTACTACGACCTCACTGTACTCAGGAGCACACACAGCACTGCATGCCTCTGACCAGGACAGCTCAGGCCGGGGCTGCTGCCTGCAAGCAGTTCAACGACAGCGGAGAGAGTCCCTGGTAAGGATCAAATCCAGTGTGACAGACACAGTACACAAGGGTGCGCACTGACACTCCAAGAGGCCATTAACCTTCACTCGGGGCAGACAATGCCACCACATTCACCTGCGAAGTGGTGAAACCATCAAACAGAGCTAACAGGCGGGGATACCGAGAGCTGGGGAAAGTGTCACCACCACCTTACAGCACAAATAATGCCAGACAAATGGCCAAGTTCTCCACTTTTCTTTTCTTTTTTTTTTTTTGGTACTAGGGATCGAACTCAGGTCCTTGAGCTTGTGCAGCAGGCGGCGAAACCACTGAGCCAATCCACTTTTCTTAAATCCAGATCATCCAGACAGAAAATCAACAAGGAAACAGTAGCATTAAATTGTACCCCAGACCAAAAGGAACTAAAAGACATCTATAGAACCTTCGCCCAACGGCAGAACACACATCCCTCTCATGGGCACGTGGAACATTCTCTAGGACAGATCACGTGAAAAGCTACAAAACAACTGAAATGTGTAACAGATGTCAGGAAATAGGAAGAAAGTGTTCAAAAGGGAAGGAGAACAAGGGAGGAAGGAGGAAGGAATGGACAAGAAAAAAAGTGAAAATAGAAGGAAAAAAAGGAAACAAAGCTTTTGTACATAAGGAGGGGAGGGTGTTGAGGGGGAAATGGGATAAAATAAAACAAAATTTATTTTTAAAAAAGAGAAAAGCTACAAAACAAATCTCAACAAACTATTTTTTGGGGGGAGGACTTTGAGACAGGATCTCACTATGTAGTTCAGGCTGGCCTTGAACTACATACCTCAAACTGGTGGCAATCTTCCTGTCTCAGCCTCTTGAGTGCCACCACACCTGGCTTGAATTTTTTAAAAAATAAAATCACATCAAGTATCTTTTCTGACCACAATCCAATAAAAGTACTAATCAGTAAGCAGAAAACCTGTAACACATGATAATACACTCCTATAATCCCAGCTCTCTGGGAGACTGAAGCAGGAGTATTATAGGCAGCTAAATAGAAATACAGTCAGAGAAGGACTGGGCCCTCAAGGAAGTCTGCACAAAAACAGACCTCAGAATTGTGGTTGGAGGCAAATCTGAAGAGGAGGCCTCAGGATGGAGATGCAATGGCCAGGCCTGCAAGCTAAACAGCAGCTTGAGACTGTACTGTAATTAGCACCACCTGGTCTGGTGGTGCGTGACACGAGGCATCAGCAGAACACCTGGACCCATCTTCCCCTCCCTATCCAAGAATGCCTTTGATCTTTCCATATACCTTTGCTATGTGACTTGTTTCCCTATTGGATCAGCGTTCGCTAACTAGCTATACTTGTAACCCTAAAGACAGCAATTTGGCCCATGCTGTACCCCCATTTGATTTTGCTGTGTGAATTACCACTGACAAAGGGCCTTGGTAGCCACCCACTTCGGACCCCTCCTGGCTCTCAGGAGCTTCCCCATAATAAACCTTTCTACTCTTAACCTTCTTTCCCCTTGGAATTCATTCTCCAATATTCAGGGGACATGAACTTGGCACATCTGACATCTAGCAGGTTGGGGTTATATTTTTCCTGTATCTGGAGAATCATACATTTGAGCCCAGCCTAGGCAACATAGTGAGACCCTTTCTCAAAATGAAAAATAAAAATGGGCTGGAGATGTAGCTCAGTGCAAAGCCCGTGTTCAATCTGCAGTACCCCCCCACCCCCCCACACACAAAACCTCAAATACATATGAATTAGCTTACTCTTAAACAACTAATGGATCAAGGAAGTAACTAAGGAGGAAATTTAAAAATTTCTTGAAACAAACAAAAATGGGAACAAACATCAAAACCTATGGGATATTGCAAAAGCAGCACAAAGAAAAAGTTTATAGAAACCAATGCCTATATGAAAAAACAGAAGAAACTCATTTAAAAAAAGCTATGGCCATATTTCAAGAAATTAGAAAAACAGGAATAAACCAAACTCCAAATTAGGAGGAAAAAAACAAAAATCAGAACAAAAATAAATGAAACAGACTAAAAAAATATAAAAGATCAATGGAAGAAAGTTGGTTCTCCAAAAAAGATAAAACTTACAAACCTTTAGCTAGATTCCCAAAGAGGCCTGTTTGCTTCCACTGTTACAGCAACACCCAAGACAATCGAGGCATAAAGAGAAAAGACACAGGCGTGTCTGTCCGTGACCATGGCCCTACTGCTCTGGGTGAGGCCACGCATCACCAGGCAGAACATGGTGGAGCAACCCCACTGCCTCATGGCCAGGAAAGGAAAGACAACAAGCACAAGTTGGTCCCACATCTGCTTCAAAGGTATCCATCCCCTCAATGACCTAAAGACCCTGCCATGAACTCAGGAGGCTGATGCAGGAGGATCCCCATGAGCTGGAGGCCAGTCTGGGCTGCATAGTGAGTTCAAAGCCAACCTGAACTACACAGCAAGACCCAGTCTCAGAAAACCAGATCGAACAAAAAGCCCAAACACTGAACAATGTTTTTAAGGAATGTATCTCAATGTAACAAAGGCCGTAGGTATTTACCCAACAGCTCACATTATACTGAACTGAAAGCTTTTAAAGATCTGGAACAAGATAAGGGTACCATTTTCATCACTTTTTGTTCAACACAGAAGTTCTAGCCAGAGTGATTACACAAGAGAAAGAAATAAAGGGCATCCAAATTGGAAAAGAGGAAGTCAGATTATCACTGTTTGCAGATGACATGATCATGTACATATATATATTTACATATATATATACAAAACCTCAAAGACTCCACCAAAAATATTAGAATATTAAATTTAGTAAAGATTCAGGGTACAAAAGTCAAAATATAAAAATCTGTAGTCTTGGTATACATCAATAGCCGATTATCTGTAATAGAAATGAAGAGTGCTCTCTTTGGCATATACTAAAACCGAATTAGAAATAAAGAAAGTAATTCAATTTATGATAGTTATGGAAAAAAAAACAAACTAGGAATAAATTTAACCAAAGCGGTAAAAGATCTCTGAAATGAAACTCACAAAACACTGATTTAAATAATTTGAAGAGGATACATGTAAACATAAAAATGAAAAAATGTACCATGGTTCACTGACTGAACAAACAAATACTGCTAAAACACTCAGCAATCTACAGAGTAGATGCAGAGAGTAGATACAGAGAATACATTCCCAATGAAAAGACCAATGACCAATTCTTCACAGAACTAGAAAAACAATCCTGAAATTTCTATGGACACACACATGTGTAAATACCGAATAGTTTCTCTGGTGTGAAAAACTAAAAGTATAAATAAGGATCAAAATGTATAATTGATATTATGAAATAGAACGAAAAGGTCTAAAGGACTAGGGGAAATGGGAGGGGTAGGGGAAAGAAAAGAAGGGAAAAGAAAAAATATGAGAAAAGGAAAAAATGAAAACAAAGTCTTTATAAATAGGGAAGGATGGCCAGGGGAAGGGGAAAAAATGAGAACCAAGATACATCATGTAAAGGTACAAGGTCCCAATGATGAATGTAACTGTATTGTATATCTAAAATGTACCAATAAACAATGAAAAAAAAATTCTATGGAAACAAAAACTCATATAGCCCAAGCAAACTTGAGCAAAAGGAACAAAGCAATAGGCATCACACTAAGTACACTGCAAAGCTGAAATCATCAAAACAGCAAGGCACTGGCAAAAAGGTTGACACACAAAGACCAACAGCACAGAGAACCTAAATCCACTCATCCAGAGTCAACTGATTTTCACGAAGGTGCTAGGAACACACATTGGAGAAAAGCAGTATTTTCAATAAACAGTGCAGGGTAAGTCATGTATCCAACATTCAGAAGAATGAGACTAGGCCCCCATCTCTTAGCAGTTACAAAAATCAGTAGGTACAGATTTAATCCATTTTAACCTGAAACTATAAAATGACTAGGAGAAAACATAGGGGAATGCTTTAGGACTCTGAAATGGGTGATGGTTTTTTGGACAAAACCCCAAAAGCACAAACCAAGCAAAAACAAGCTTCTGCACAGCAAAGGAAACAACATCACAAGGAAAAGACAACCTACAGAATGGGAGAAGATACTTGAAAGCTAACATCTGACAAGAGCTCAATATCCAGAATACATAACGGACTCAAAAACTCAGTAGTGGGCCGGGGATTTAGCTCAGGGGTTCCGCCACATGCCTCGCAAGCGCAAGGACCCAAGTTTGATCCCCAGTACCAAAAAAAAAAAAAACCTCAGTAGCAAGCAAAAAAAAAAAAAAGAAAGAAATAAAGAAAGAATGAAAAAGAATCAAATTCTTTGTTCAAAAATGGACAATAGTGGGGTATAGCTCATTGGCAGGGTGCAAAAACCCTGGGTTCAACTCTCAACCATCACCAAAAATAAAAGACCATCAACCTGAATGGATATTCCCAATAGAAGACACACAAATGGCTGATAGGTATAGGAAAAAATGCTCTATCTCACTAATCGTCAGAGAAACGCAAGTCAAACCGTAAAGAGGAGCTGGTGTAGCTCAGTGGTGGAGTGCTAGCCTAGCATGCATGAGGAGGCCCTGGATTCAATCCCCAGCAACACAAACAGCAACAAACAAAACCACAATAAAATATTACCTCATCCCAGTAAGAATGGCTATTATCAAAAAGACAAAAGATAAATGCCAGTAAGGAAGCTGAGGAAAGGGAACCCTTGCACACGGTTGAGGGGAATGTAAATACAGCCTTTATGGAAACCAGTACAGAGGTTCTTGAAAATACCCAAAACAGAATTAACACATGATCTAGCAATCTCACTCCTGGGTATACATCCAAAGGAAATAAATAAGTATAAAGAAACACCTGCAATAAACTCCCTTGTTTATTGTAGCACTATTTACAAAAAGAAATGGGTCTATCAATGGATGAATAAAATGTAGTACATATACGCACAACAGAACATTATTTAGCCATAAAAAGAATGAAATCCTGTCATTTGTGGTAATGGGTGAAACTGAAAATCATTACATTAAGTGAAATATGCCAGTCTAAAAATATGTACACTCTAAACAAAGATGATCCCATAGAAGTTGAGAGTAGAATGGTAGTTATTAGAAGGTAGGAAGAGTAGGGGAAGGAGTGATAAGAAAAGGCTTATCAGCCGGGTATGTCGGCCCATGTCTTTAATCCCAGCACTTAGGATGAGGCAGGAGGATCACTGCAAGTTTGAGGGCAGTCTGAACTAACAGCGAGACCCTGTCTCAAAAAACAAAAGACAAAGAAAGAAATCCAAAAAGTTGGTTTTTTGAAAAGATCAACAGAAGTGACAAACAGCTGAACTAAAAAAGACTTAAAATTTTAAAAATCTAAAATGAAGGTAAGGACATTACTACTGATTCTACAGAAATGAAAAGGACTATAGAAGAGTACCATGAACAATGGTATGCCAATAACTTAGATAACAGAGCAGCAATGGTGAACCTTTTAATGATACAAATAGCCCAGTGCGGCGTGGGTGTCATAGGTTTGCCATTCTAAGTCTTAGAGTAAATGGATAAATTCCTAGAAACACAAAACCTAACAAGACCACATCATGAAAGGAAAATCTAAGCAGAGGGAGAGGGAAGGAGAAGGAGTTTTTTAAAAAAGAAGCTGTACTATGTACTCACTCCCTAAAATGACTGTAAATTGCCATGTACTGCAAACATGTACTAATAGAACAACAAAAAAGAAAATCTAAGCAGACCTATAACTAAAAAGGAATTAAATCAATAATCAATAGTCTCACAACAAAGAAAAGCCCTGGACTTGCCTGAATTGTATTAAACATTTAAAGAATTAATAGAACAGTTTCTTAAAAAAATGAAAGAAAAGACAGGCATGGTGGTGCACACCTGTAATCCCAGCATTCAGGAGGCTGGGGCAGCAGGATTTGGAGTTCAAGGCCAGCCTAGAATGCATACCGAGACCCTGTCTGCTAAAAAAGCAAGAAAAAGAAAAAGGAAAAAGAACTATTCTTTCTCACACTTGCACACTTCCTAACTCATTCTACAAAGCCAACAATTTCCCGATGCCCAAGCATAAGTAATTATGACAAAAGCCAGCACAGCGGTGCACCTGTATGCCAGCTCCTCAGAAGGCTGAGGAAGGAGGCTCTCAAGTTCAAGGCCAACCTCAGTAGTTAAGGACACTATCTCAAAATAAAAAACAAAATGTAAGAAAAGGCTGGGGATATAGCTCAGTGGTAGGTGTCCCTGGGTTCAATCCTCAGTACTATAAAAAAAAAAAAAAAAAGATTCAAGAAAACTGCAGGCCAATATCCCTTATGAATGCTGATGCAAAACACACATTCATGAGCAGCAAATTAAAAGGATTACAGACTATGACTAAGTGAAATTTATTCCTGGAATGCAAGGATGATTCAACATAAAACTGACCAATGTAATATACCACATTAACAGAATGAAGAAAATAAAACCACATGATCATTTCCACTGATTAAAAAAAAGCATCTGACAGCCATGCATGGTGGTGCACCCCTACAGGCGCACCCCCTATAATTCCAATATTCTGAGAGGCTGAGACAGGACAATCATAAGCTCAAGCCCAGCCTAGGCAACTCGACATGAAGGCCCTGGGTTCAATTTCTAGTACCACACACATGGAAAAAAAGAAAAGAAAAGAAGAGAAACAGGAAAAAGAAAACTTTTGACCACATTCAACATAGTTTCATGTCAAAGACAATCAACGAAATAAATAACCCTGCTGACAGATATATGCATCAACAGAATATGACAGGGAGCCCAGAAACAAGCCTTCACACATACAGTCAAAGGATTTTGACAAGGGTGCAAAACCATTTACAAGGAAAAGAAGCCTTCAACAATGATCCTGGGAAAATTGGATATTTACACACAAAACAATAAAGGTAGAAAAAATGAACTCAAAATAAGGACCTGAATAAGACTACAAACTTTACAACACTGGATTTGGCAATGATTTCTTAGATATGATATCAAAGTCACAGACAACAAACGAGTACACAAACTAGGCTTGAAATTTTAAAAATTTTGAACATCAAATGATATTATAAATAACCCACAAAGAAGCAACCCACAAAATGGGAAAAAATATTTGGATATCATGCGGTTTTTTTTTTCTTTTTTTGAGACAGGGTCGTCCTATGTATTTCAGGCTGGCCTTGAACATACTCTGTAGCTGAAGTTGGCCCAAACTCACGGCAATCCTCCGCCTTAGCCTCCCAAGTGGTGAGCTTCCAGGCGTGCGTCACCACACTCAGCAGAAATCATGTGTCTGACAGAGATCAATATATATAATACATAGGAATTCCTAAAAATCAACAATAAAACCCAATTAAAAATGGGTAAAGGACACAGACATTTCTCCAAAAAAGATAAGCAAACAGCCAATCGGAACACGAAAATATGCTCAGCCTCACTAAGCATCACAGAAATGTAAATGAAAACTACAATGAGATCTCACTTCAGCCCATCAGGATGGCTACTATTAATAAAATAGAAAACCCCAAGCATTGGTAAGATGTGGAAAAATTGTGCACTGTTGTAGAAATCCATAGCAGCTGTAGAAAAATACCAAGGGAGTTCCTTGAGAAGTAGAAAACGGCAATTCTATTCCAGTATATAGCCATGAGAATTGAAAGCAGAGTGTTAAAATGTATACATCCATGTTCACAGCAGCATTATTCATAATAGCTAAAATGTGGAAGCAACACAAGGGTCCATCAATGGTAAACACATAAGGAAAATGTGGTCTATTTATACAATGGAATATTAATTCTACTCTTAAAGTAAAAGAAATCCTGACATATGCTACAATGTGGATGAACCTTGAGGATGTTATGCTAAGTACAATAAGTGAGTCACAAATAGATAACCCTGTATGGTCCCAGGGGTAAGGCTCCCAGTGAGATTCACAGGGAGAGAAGGAATGGAGATGCCAGGGGCTGGGGAGATGTCTGGGGATTGCTGACAAATGACTACAGAGTTTGAGTTTTGCAAGATGAAAAAAGTTCTGGAGATTGGCTGCACAACAACATGCATTTTCTGAATGCTACTGAACTAGAAAATGGTCAAAATGGTCAACTTGATGTTGTATACAGTTTTACCACAATACAATTAAAAGGGTCATAACAGTGAGAACAAGTCTTTCAGAATAATGCAATTCACTGAAAATAATTGTAATGGACCATGTAAGTTCGCTTAAGATAGGAAAACAAATTTGTTTTTTGGTACCAGGGACTGAACTTGGGTCCTTGTGCTTGTGCAGCAGGCGGCAAAACCATTGAGCTAAATCCCCAGCCCAGGAAAACAAATTTTAATACAGTCCCTTTACAAACTGTAAATGTAACATTTTTAGTTTTAACCCAGGAAACAATAAAAACCAACAGTTTTTGTAAATATTCTGACTGTACCATATAGAAACCTCCAAGGGCTGGGAATTTAGCTCAGCGGCACAGCACCTACCTGGCAAGCGCAAGGTCCTGAGTTCGATCCCCAGTACCAAAAGGAAAAAAAAACCTCCAGGCCTGGGAGGCATAATTCAGTGGTAGGGCACCTGCTTAGCCTGTGTAAGGTCCTGTGTCCAATTCCCAATACCAATCAACCAAATGATCAATCCCTCAGCTGAAACTGAAACTCTATCAACTAAACATGCTCAATCAACTCATTATCCAACTTCACATTTGCTTCTTTTGCTTACCTGACAGAGAGAATAGTACCAAGACAGAGGAAGATCAAACACTTTGAGTGCAGCCGTCTTCAAGGAAAACTGTGATTCGCTTACTATTTCTTCTGACATGACTCTTCCTCAACTCTCCACTAAACAAAACATAAAAACTTATTAGTCACAAAGATTTCTGGTTATTTTACCAGTGGAAGATACAAAGTAAAATTTAAACTATGGTTTTTTGTGTATTCATGATATTATACTTGAGCTGAAACTGTATTTATTAATCATCAAAGCAATAAACGAGAAAATGAACTATTATTTACACTTGCTCTTAACCAAACAGCCTGAAAGTGATGAAAATGAACTAAATTAAAACTGAGTTCAGGGAGTAAATTTTCCTTAGAAAATTGCAGGTTCTAGATTCTCTCTTTTCTGGTTCAATGTATTTATTGCTTTCAGATAGGTAGTAATTTAAAATCTTCCCACAGATTTCTTGCATGTTAACAGGAGTGTGGGGGGGTTGCTGAATGGGATCTGGAACAGACTTCTGGAGCTAGAAAGGAAAGTCAGAATTCAGTAACTGAGCTTCAGATTCTCCTGCTGTTTCATGTGACAGGGTTTAATGCATGCTATTTCTCTTGAAACTAAAAAAAAAAAAAAAGAGAGACAAGTATTTAAACTTTTTTTTTTTAAGACACAGAGTCTCCCTATGTTATCCAGGCTGGCTGAAGACTAAAGGTATATATGCCACTGCACTCTGCCACAAAAGTGCAGGTATTTACAAAGGAAGCAGGCGTCACTCTGAGAGGTCCTTAAGGTAGTAGACTCGTCATGAAACATGACACTTCAGGGTCTGGGTCTCTGTTTTATAAACCCTAAAACTCACAGCCATGTGCACACACAAAATAGGTACACAGCCTGGGCATGTAGCTCAGTGGCACTGCACCTGCCTGGCAAGCGCAAGGTCCTGAGTTCAATCTCCGACACCAGAAAAAAAAAAAAGAGATTCACATAGTAATACATAAATCACTTTACCAATTTATTCACTTATAACTAAGAAATATACTATCTAGTGACTAAAATACTTATATACACTATACCAAACATACCCTCTCTGAAATAAAAGATTGTGGTAAGCTGAACTAGTGAGTCAAAAGGTAGCCTGGTGAACATAAAAGTAAAGGGTCCTGAAGAATGAAAATTTCATTCATCAAGAAAAGCATCAAGGGCTGGGGATTTAGCTCAGCGGTGCCAACGCCTGCCTCAAAAGCACAAGGTCCTGAGTTCGATCCCCAGTACCCCCCCCAAAGAAAAAAAAAAAGAAAAGCATCAATGCCAGATATGCTGCCGCACACATGTAATCCCAGCACTGAGGCAGGATCACTGAAAGTTCGAGACCAGCCCCAGCTACATAATGAGTTCAAGTCCAATCTGAACTACAGCTCAAGACCCTGTCTCAAACAAACAGAAGGAAGAAAGGAAAGAAGGGAGGGAGGGATGGATGGATCAAGAACTCTCTCTGGTGAATGACAGAGGAAGCTAGAACATTTAAACAATCCAAATTGAGATAGTGGTATATAATTTCAAGAAGTAAATAAAAATTACTAACAATCCCCATGAAAATTTTTTCCATTATAGTTTCCTTGGGTTCTTTGTTCTGTCCTATTGCATGTATCCCTGTACTTTTTTTTTTTCTTCCTACACTGCAGTAGGCTATTCCCTTCCATTAATACCCACCTTTTTTCAGAAAGTGCCAAAACCACTAATTTCATAGTGGTTACCTTTCAAATAAGACACAGTAACAGCTCTTGGGGTTAGGGTCACTACTGCTGATACCTATCTTAATCCTCACAATGACACTGCTAAACTTCGTGCCCCACTCCTTTTCTAACTACAACTTTTCAACTCTGTAGAATGCATTCTAACTGAAGTATACTTATTCCAACCAACAAATGGTGATACAGACACAACACCATTTTGAGAAATAAAGAGAAAACCATGAACAAACCATTAAACCAGTGAAAAATGTTCCTGTTGAGAAATAATACTGGGGGTGGTGGGAGGCCTGGCAAGGAACCACTGCTTTCATTATCTATTTCTGTAACATTTGCTATTTTGTAAAATAACTGCCTACATATAATACATTTTTTTGTTTTTTTTATTTTGGTACCGGGGATCGAAGTCGGGTCCTTGCGCTGGCGGGGGCAGGTGGCGGCACCACTGAGCTAAATCCCCGGGGTCCACATAATACATTTTTTAAATACTAGAGTAAAAGAGCAGAGCACTTTTATTCTTCTGCCCTAAAAATTGACAACTTCTGACACTGAGAAAAAATTTTACTAATTAAATAATTTTGGTAATGTAAGTTATTGTACAATAAAAAAGAAAGAAAATGGCTTAGAGCAGATCAAATTTTCTCCATAATAAAGCATTACAAGACTTTAAGCAGAGGAGAAAGAAAATAAAACGAACCCTTCAGTTTTTTTCAATAGTTCTCTTAAGGATTTTAAATGAGAAAAGGACCAAGAGATGGAAAGAGAGGAGAAAGAGGACGTAAAAAGAATTAAGCTGTGTTAGGTCCATGTGCCAACGCCCCACGACGAGTGTAATCACTAAGTACTGCAAATATGTACTAATAAAAAAACATTTTTAAGACAAATATTTTTGGCGGTACTTAAGATTATTCAGAATTGTAAAAGAGTCTAAAGTATTACCAAAATATTGTATTGTGCCGTTTTCCCCGATTCTTTCTATTCCAACCACTGGGGAGTTAATAAGTGTCATAAACAGAATTTGTATGTTTAACACCCTAAAATTCTATTCTACAATTTTGACTAACCCAACGAAGAAAGTCTGAAATACCAAGAAAATTTGACGCGAAGCATAAATCTGTACAACTGAACTCTGAGGAGACACTTCAAAGGTAGCAAAAAATTCTTACTTAAAAATAACCAAATAATAAAGGTCCCCGTGGTCTGTGCGGAAACACTGGGTCTTGGAGCGCTCCCTCCAGAAAGTACTGCGCACCTAACCATTTAGCTCACAAAAGGTCCCCGCTGCCGCAATCCTAACAGCACCTGCCCGGATGCATCCTCCACACACGGCCCCGAAGGGCCCGCCTCCGCGCCTTCTCCCGAGCCGACCTGAAAGGGCCCTGCCCGGCCGCCGTCCCTCCCTCGGCTCCGAGCCGCGCCGCGCCCACCCGACTCGGTGCTCCCCGGCCGGCCTCACTCACCCGGCGCCGCCGGCCCCCCAGAGTCCAAACCGCGAGGACGAGCGCTGCAGCCCGCTTACCGCCCTCCTCGCCCCGCGGCCTCCGCCCTGACCCCCCCCCCCCACAGCCCGCCACGGTCCGCCCTCTCTTCCGGGTACCTGTCGGCCCAGGCAAGGCGCCGCTTGCCCAAGCCTGCCTTCCCTGCCGCAGCCTGGCTCTGAGCGGCGGGGCCCGGCTATAGGAGGCGGAGTCCTTCCGGGGTCAGGTGCGGGAAGGTGAAGGGAAAGCGGAGGGGGCCTCTTAGCCTTTCTGCGTGAGGGGCTGCGTGGGAAGCACCTTCCGCCATTTTTGTTTAGGGTACGAGGCTCAGGCTTTGCCTGGTGAATGTAAGAACTAGGATTGTATCCTTTTGCAAAACTGTGAAGGACTAGTAACAAAGTCGGTAACTTTCCAGCATTAGAGGACCGTTATACGAATCTATTGAAAACTAGTCTTTCCCCAGAAAAATGCACACAGACATCCATACATTATTCACACACACACACACGTACACACGTACAGTTTCAAACCCCAGAAACCAATCATGGATCCCATATTAAGAACTTCTAGGCTGGTAATGTAGCTCAGTGACAAAGTGTGTGGTTACTAACCATGAAGCACTGGGTTCTATCCCCAGGACAAATACAAAACAACAACAACAAAAATTCTACCATAGATGGAAAAAATGGAAACAAAGTCTTTGTAAATAGGGAAGGGACAGCTAGGAATGGGGAAAAAATAAGAACCAAGATGCATCATATAAAGGTACAAGTTCCCAATAAGAAATGTCAATGTGTTGTATACCTAAAATGTACCAATAAAAGAATTTTTTAAAAAGTTCTACCCTAGACCCTCAGCACTCAAAAGAATGAAGTTAAAATGCTTGTACACACCCACACAAATGGTGCATTTATTATTCATTTCCTCTTTAGCTGTAGTGACAATGGCCAATTAGGAGGTGTTAGGAAGGTAGTGCACTCAGGTTCTGTTTAATACACAAACACAGTAAACAAATGAGAGTGGAGAGGAAAAAAACAAAAACCTTTGAGCTCCTGCTTGTACATGCACTCTTAAACGTACACCATCACAGATTAAAGATTTAAGAATCATAGTGGCTAAGCATTGTGGGACTGTGTGATTCAAAAGTTAATTACTCCCCTAGGTCCTGTTGTAAATTTGATGGTTGGAGTGTGTTTGCCTCGGGACAATGGACAATCAGTAATAGGGCGAGATTGCTCAGCCATCTGTTTGCCCTAAATCCAAATGTCCCGGGGCCCAGTATCTATAGGACAATCTGTAAACAGGGTGGTCGTAACTGTTAGTCAGGATGTCTGCTGACCATCAGCATGTGACAGTGAGCCACTAACCTTTGTTCTTTTTTTCTGTGAATCCACATGTTAAGCCCCCCCCCCCCCTTAACCCCCTATAAAACAACCTCGGACTCTGAGCCAGGTGCCTCTCTAAGCTATTCTGCTTCGGGAGTGCTGTCTGGCCAGACTAATAAAGGTCTGTTTCCCAACTTGGCCGGTGTGTTCCTTCCCGGGTGTGCTCCACTCCAGCTCCTCGGAGCCTTTGGTAAGGCCCTCGGTCTTACAGCATAATTAGGTGAAAAGTCAAAATAATTTTGTAAGGATAACTACAACATGAGAGCATGTGTTACGATTCCTATCAAAGGAAAAAGAATGAACAATTCTTTGTTTTCAAAATTCTCATTTAGGCACAATGGAATATAGGCAGAATGGGAATACCAACGTGATATTACTAGATGGATAATAACTAAATATGCACAGAATGAGTTCTACATGAAAATATTTTGAAATGGAGCTCTTTAAGACTTGAAGAACCTGGAATTTATAAGGCCATTTTTATTTTCCCAATCTCCTCTTTGGTGCTTCCTCCCTAGTTGTGTCTTTTTTCTCTCATCATCCACCCAAAGTAAGTGTGTTTACAGGACCACTCTACAAGTTAGAGCTTAGCCAACCAAGACCTCTAGAATTTAGAGGATGGTTCCATACACTAATTTAGAACACCTATTCAGAGCACGGTGATCCATACATGCATCTAAATAATTCAGATTTGGGCTAGGCATAATGGCTCATGCCTGTTTGCCCAGCACTCCAGAGGCTGAGGGAGGAGTGTCGTCTCAAGTTCAAAGCCAACGTGGGCTACATAGTGAGTTCAAGGCCAGCCTGAACTACATAGCTAGGGCCCATCTCAAAAAAAAATGCAGATTCAGTTCCACAAAAATGTTAAACATAGCTTGCCATAATCTCAGCTACTGGGAAGGCAGATGCAGAAGGATTGCATGTTCAAGGCCAGCTTGTGCAACTTAGCAAGACTCTATCTCAGAAAAATAAAAGGATTGGCAGCTCACTTGTATAGCACTTGCCTAGCATATATAAGGTCCTAGTTTCAGTACCAAAAAGAAAAAAAATTAAACATAGAGTGGCCATATGGCCCAGAAATCCCACTCATAGGTAGAATCCAAGAAAAATGAAAATAGACATCTACATAAAAACTTGTACATGAATATGCATAGCAGCATTATTCTTAATAGCCAAAAAGTAAAAATAACCAAAATGTCCATCAGTTGACCATAAAAAAGAAAATGCTATAATATGGGAAAATCTTGACAACATTATGCTAAATACATTTAGTCACAAAAGACAACATACTGTCAGATTCTAAATGTCCATAAAAAGCCAATCCATACACAGGAAATAAATTCATGGCTGCCTGGGGGTGGAGAATGGAAGGAAATGTAAATGACCGTTAAAGGGTACAGTGCTTCTTTTGGGGGTGGTGAAAAGATTCTGAGCCTGGATTGTAGGGGTGGTTGTACAAAAATGAATATACTAACAACCATTGAGATGTCCACTGTAAATCAGTGAACTTTTTGACATGTAATCATATCCCAATAAAGCTGTTACCAAAACAAATTCTTACTGCCATTTCTTTTTTATCTTTCTTCTTTTGCCATACTGGGGATCAACTCAGAGCCTCACACATGCTAGGCAAGCACTCAACATTCCCAGCCTCTGTTTTTTTAGATTAATAAATAGAGACTTATAAAGTTTATGGAAGTGGTAAGAGCTGGAGATCTAAGCCAGAAAATGCTCTAGACCAGAGATGGTAAACCTTTTAGAGACGAGTGCCCAAGCTGTAGCCCGAAAGCCACTTACTTGTCATAAAGTGCCCACACTGCCATTAAACCTGAATACTAAGGTTTTAGTTTAGAAAAACAACTCTACATTAATGTCTTTTATCTTAAACATATGCATGCCATAGTTTTGCCACTACTGCTCTAGACCATGCTTTCACTGCACAGCCTCAGCAGATGTGAAAATGCTGGCCTGCTAGCTGGGTGTGGTGGCCCAGGTTTATAATTCCAGTACTTAGGAGGCTGAGACAGGAGGATCGCTGAAAGTTGGAGGCCTACCTGGGCTACATAGTGAGTTCAAGGATAGCCTGAACTACATACCAAGATTTTGCCTCAAAAAACAAAAATAGAGGGGCTGGGGATGTAGTTCAGTGGTTCCACTGTCTGCCTAAAAAGTGCAAGATCCTGAGTTTGATCCCCGGTACCAAAAAAAAAATTAGGCCGGGATTTAGCTCAGTAGTGCTGCCACCTGCCTTGCAAGCAAAAGGTCCTGAGTTCACCACCACCCCACCCCCGCCACCAAAAAAACCCATAAAACAAAATACAAATAAAAAGTAAAGTAAATAAACAACAGAGACATATTTCTAGTAAAAGCCAGGTAAATAAAAGCTTTGAAGGGCCTGGGATTTAGCTCAGTGGTTCTGCTGCCTGCCTCGCAAGTGCAAGGTACCAAGTTTGATCCCTGGTGCCAAAAAAAAAGTTAATATAAAGAACAATAAAATTTAAGTTAAACTGGGGCCAGGGATTTAGCTCAGTGGTTTCGCTGCCTGCTGCACAAGCGCAAGCCAGTACCCACCCCCTCAAAAAAAATCTAAGTTAAAAAAAAAAATCTAAGTTAAACTTTACAGAAACAAGTGTTCTCTTTTTTTGACACTGGGGATCAAACTCGGGGCCTTGCGCTTGCGCAGCAGGCGGTGAAGCCACTGAGCTAAATCCTCGGCCCAATTTAAATTAAACTTTACGGAAGCAAGTGTTTTTGGGGTTTTTTTGGCACCAGGGATCGAACTTAGGACCTTTCCCCTGTGAGGTAGGTGGCAGAACCATATTTTGTACTTCCAAATAATCTTGTGACCTTCCCAAGTGTAGCTGAGCTGGGGATCTGAGCCCTACGTTGGGGCCCCAGCTGTAGCCAACCCACCAGGCTGGCTTAGTTCTGGGACCTAGAGCCAATACTTTGTTCTCCCAGAAGGGAAGGGGGGACAAGGACACAGCGGACACAGACAAGGATGAATGGCAAAGAGACACCGAGTCAGTTTAACATTCAGGCAGCCAGGGCCTCCTCCCTAGTAGGCAGAGGAGCCCCCACCATCTGGCACATCTTAAGAGGATAGCTTAAGCCGCAGTGTTTGGGCCAGCCTGGATAGCATAGCAAGGCCCCCTGTCTCAGAATAAAGTAAATAAATAAATGTAATTTGAGAAAAGTTGCATCTGCTGTATTTGAATGATGGAGATTTTTTTTTGAACCAGGCATCATGAATATGTAATCAGCAAATAATAGAGATTTTTTTGGTACCAGAGATCGAACTCAGGACCTTACACTTGTGAGGCAGGTGTAGTGCCACTGAGCTAAATCCCCAGCCCAAATAATAGAGATTTTAAAAACTACAAGAAGGCAATTACTGTCTCTCTGAGTTAGAAAATATATCTTAACTTT